ATATATTAAAATATACACGTTATGAGACTAACGGAAAACGTTTAGAATTTTAGATAAAATGGAATTTTTTCTTCCACTAAGCTTATTTTAGTTACTTACTAAAATAGTGGCTTATTTTGGTTCCCAACTCTCAATATATGTAGTATTTTTTGGGTATATTATCACGTCATCTAAAGAGCAATTTAAAACATGTAAAATTTTAATTTTGAAAATAAGATAATATACCTATTACAACTTATAAAGAGAATTTGACGATGTAAAACTTCTTAACTAGTGGTGTATATATTTAAACTTAAAAGAAAAAATAAACTAGAGTTTGTATTTTATTAGAATAAAAAAATAGGAAAAGGTTGGTAAGGCTAAGGTATATTAACAGGTCAATAATTATTTTTTGGTGTAAAATATTACCCAAAAGTGTACGATGCTTAAATCCAAAGAAAAAAAAACCTAGTGTCATGTGGAGGGTTAGTTGGTTAATTACCAATTTGGAGTATTCTATCATGGCTTACTGCCTAATCCAAATTCTATTACTTCTAAGTTCCAACTAATGTCTATTTGTTTTATTATTGACTTTTATAGGAGCACTAATTAATGGTGAGATTAACTAGAACCGTCATAATTCATAATTTATTAATAGATTCTATTCTTAATTCATAATAATATTTTGAAATTATTAGTACTGTCCTAAAGTAGCTACAGTTTAATCATATCCTTAAATATATTATATTTTGTTAGTGAGAAAAACCTTTACGAATGAAGTAAACACAATTAACTGAAAATTATGTCGTTATTAGTATTATCAACAAGGATTTTCCTATGCAAACAAAATATGTCAATTTCATGATAATTAGGACCCGTTTGGCCATAGATTTCCCAAGTAATATTTGGGGAAAAATTTGGCACATAGTGTTTGTCCATACAATTTGTCATTATTTGATAAATATTTTTGGCAAATATCCCAAATTCCTAAATACTAGTTTTTTCTAGTATTTGGGCCAAATATCATTATTTGTGATCTTTTAAATATTGAAATTTTACACCAAATTTTTATCTTTTACAAAAACACCCTCTATAGTAGTTGTTTGAGTTGTATTACATATTTTTTTACGTGAACACCAAAGTAGTGATGAAATATTCAGTGAATATGAAAGTGATGATACGGTTGTTGATGAAAATAATGAACAATCAACTCAGGATAACAAAGTCATATGTTTTGTCTACTTTACGATGTATGGAATGATGCTTGTTGCACTCACTCCAAACTACCACATTGCTCCAGTGTCATGGACGCTACTTGTTATTTGTTGCAACAAATATCCAATTGACTTGTAATACAAATTTATGGTTAATTTTGATAGTTTTTTAAATTTACGGGTATAAATCATATTTTTTTGAAAAAGTGAAATATGTTTTCCAAATACTATGACTAAATACATAATGAAATTTCACCTAAATTTTCACCAAAATAATATTTGTCAAGAATATTTGAAAATTTATAACCAAACGCTAGCTTATATTAAGTCGTATTCGACGTTATTACTTCGCGAATTCTACCCCAATGAATGGACCCCAATAAAATAGTTTTGTAATAAGGAAAAAAGTGGTCAGCAAATAGTACAAAATGGAAAAGTCAAAGTCTGTCAATTTTCTAAACCTGCAGAGTGTGAAGCCATTACAATATTTACATTTAATTCAGTGTTTGTATGAGTTGTTCAATTATAGAGAAAATGTCCAAAATAGTTTCTCATCTTTGGGTTAAAATTTAAAGTCATTCTTTAATTTTCACATGTAGCATTAATAGTCCCTCATGTTTGCAATATTGGTGCATTTTTTATCCTTCTCTAAATTTTTTCTATTTTTTAACATTGATTTTATTCATAATTTATGTATGGAATGTTCAATTGTCATTTTATATATTTAGTGGAAATAATAACTCCATGTGAGAGAATGTGAGAAGAAAAACACATTGTTTTGTTTAGTAGAAATCGTATTGCAGGTAAATTCGAGAGGTTCATCATGACGATTTCACATGCAATAGTACAAAATTTTCTTTTCTTCCAACGTCATATGTTAAGATGTTCTTAGATTAGCTGCATAATATTTTTATTCAACAGAACAAAATGTTCTACTTCTCACCTTCTCTCACATAAAGTTATTATTTCTACTAAATATATATAAAAAAAAAGATTGGACATTCCTTACATATAATAGTGGACAAAATTAATGTTAAAAAATAGGCAAAAATTTGAAGGAGGACCAAAAGTGCACCAATATTGCAAACACGAGGGACTATTAATGCTCCATGTGAAAAGTCAAGGATGACTTTGAGTCTTAACCCAAAGATGAGGGACTATTTTGGGCCTTTTCTCTTCAATTATACGTACAAAGATTAAATGAAAGTCGAGGATTATGATAAAAGGTTATTAGATAATTAAAAAATTTTATTATCATTTTCTTTTCAGATTCTACTTATGAAATTATAAGGGGTATATTATTGTTTGTAAAATTTAAAAAATGAATTTGTTATTAAAATTCAAATGAAATTCTCTTTTCATGGTCAACAAATTAAATATTTGCTCTCGAATATTTTTCCTCTAGCATATTTTTTAATTCACTCTTGCTATATCTATACTAGATTTTCAATTTTGACTTGCAGCTCCTGGTGCCTTTTGTTTTCATATTTAGAAAATTTCTTTTTACACATTTATGGCTTTTTAGGGGGTTTGGGACTCGGAAAATTCAATGTAACTATAGGATTATTATACACAAAGAAAAGTTTAAATTTATAGTAGAATAATAGTTTGGAACATTGGAAAATAAAGTTTGAAACATATAATAGACACCAACCTAACTAATTAAATTTTATCACATTAAATTACATCTCACATTTAAAAAAGATAAATGAATAGCCCATTTTAATTAACCGATGGTATACAATTAAAGTGTTAAAAATTATTTTAAATCCTGAAGTATATTACTTTATAAATAAAAAATTTACATATTTAATAAACATAGATGTTAAAACTATTAATAAACAATTGATATATTTGATAACAAATGCAAATTTATTTTTCTTAAAATGCAAATACATAAATCTCTAATGCATGCTAAACACTGATAAATCAAACTAAAGATGTCGCGACAAAATTAAGATTTGGTGTTTTAGTTTATTTGTCCTATTCATGCTATGATGTTATTTTTTTTGGATCATCCAATAATCACTTTTACTTTTATCTGCAAATTGACATGATCTTACCTAACTTAACCATTTAAAGAATTTAAATTTATTTAATTAATCTTAATTATAGGTCTGACAATTCCTTATTATAGTCCTTCTAGTTGTAGTAATTTTTTTTTACCTAAATCAAATTACTTTTTCTGTCTATTTTTACTTGTTTACCATAGCATAAATAAATATTTATTTTTACTTATATCAAATTTATATTGAACAAGTAAAAACGAACGGGGAGAAATATTTAATCGTGAATGTCTCCATCCTGTCCAATAGTATTACATATGAATAGTCTTAAAGAATTAAATTGAAATATCAAGTGGGTAGCCAAGGGTCCACGTCTAACACATCAAAGATGAAGAAATCTCACGTGCCCCAGTTGCCATTGACTGTTCTCTAAAGTTTCAATTTTTACATTATAGAAATTTCTCTGAAAACAAACTTTGTTTTTGTTTATGGATAGGAAGTTGGTAAACAGCTAGCTCAATTTATACACATAGTTTTTCTTGTTAGTTTATGGTACACTATTTTGAATCCCATAGAACTTTTGCCTTAATAATAATTAAAAAAAGACCCAGCTTTTAGGCTGGAGAAAATGATCAAAATGGTCCTCCATGTATAGGAGTTAATTTATTTTGGTCCTTCATATATATCACCTTATCCAAATAGTCCTTAATGTATATAAAAAGTGTATCATTTTAGTCTTTAGCCCTAGAAACTAACAGAAAAGTTTAAAAACTGTTAAAATTCACTGTGGGTCCCACATTTGGTGGACCCCTTTCTTCCTCCCTTTTTCTTCTTCCCCATCTTCTTTCTTCCGCCATTTTTTCTCAAATTCGCAACTGATTTATTCTTCTATTTACTGCAAAAAATCCTTTAAAACAAACAAAGTTTTCTTCAAAATTCAAAAAATGGTTTGTAAATTTTTATTTTCTACCTTTGTCCGTTCAGTTCTTATTTTTTCTCAAATTTACAATTGATTTCTCTGCCTTTTTATACAGAAAATGAATATCTTTCCAATTTATGTCAGTGCTTACTTTGGTGGCCGGATCAGGGACGTCAAGAGAGCTAGAAGATCAGATTTGAGGAGGATATATATTGTTGTCAACACATAGTAGTTTATATATATACCATGGCTCCCGGAGGCAGGCCTTACCAGGCTATTGGTGATTCCCGCAGTGCATATGCTGACTATGATATTTCACCAGAAAGTGCTGAATTCAAAAACTCCCC